GACATGTGGGATCTTCCCGGACCGGGGCACGAACCCATGTCCCCTGCATCGGCAGGGGGGGGGCGCACACCCCGCCCCCCCGCGCCCCCCCCCCCACGCACGCACATGCCCTGCACATGCACACGTGCAGGCACACGCACACACACTGTCTCCGCCACTCAGGGCCTGACCTCCCCTGGACCTGGGGCTCATGTGCAGCAGCCAGAAGAGAGAGTTGCTTGCTGACATTCACTCTGTCTTACCTTGCCGTCGTGTTGGGGGGGCGGGTTCTCTGTCCAGAACTGGCTCCTTGTGCCCCTATGCAGTCATGGGCGTCTGTGTGTCCCGTAAGTCGGGGTGGGTTCTGTTTGAACCTGCAGGATGTGTTTATAGGGACACGGGCTCTTTGTTTCGATATTTTAGGAAACTTCCAACGTGGGCCTCGATTGGAGAGGGCAGTTTCTGCAGATCGTGCAAGAGGCCTTTGAAAAGGAGCGGGAGATACTGAGAGTCGAGGTGTGGCCCCGGCCCTGTGGCTCAGGCCCTGGGGGCTGCGGCTCCCTGTTGGAGAGGCTGGAGAAGATGGTCCAGGAGCAGGTGAGCTCATGCCTTGGCTTCCCCCCGGAGCCCACCCTGACACAGAGGGTGACAGAACGTGTTTCGCCCGACCTTAGAGCAAGGCAGTGACTGAGCAGCAAATCCTGCCGCAGTCCACAGATAACACTGTGTTTTTATGCATGACTTCCGTGAAGTGGAAAGCTCTGTGCAATTATCTCCCTTCCGGATCTCACTCTGTTCTGGAAATAACTGGCCTTTCCTTGAAAGCAAAAGAGCCATTCTAGGCGGCCCAGCTCCAGGCTGTGAGCGCTGAGCCCAGGGTTGGAGGGTCGGCACCGCGAGGGCTGTGGGAGCCTGCTTCCTGCCAGTTCCCTCGTAAGAGAGGGCAGGGTGCATGGCGAGCGTCGACCAGGCCCAGCAAGCGAGACCAAGGTGCTGGGGGCAGAGCTGCGTGCGATCTGAGGGTTCCAGGGCCACTGTGCCCGCGTTCATGCCGCGCAGTTGTCCCCCGCGTCCTCCTGTGGCAGCGACGCCGGGAGATGCTCTTGCCTGGCACACCAGCCTTCAGGACCCCCTTCTTCTGCCGTGTCTTATGTCCCCCTGCCCTGATCCCTTGCCACCCCATCTGCAGGGGGACCTGCAGGAGAGGTCCTTGGAGCACCTCCGCCCGTCAGACAGGAGCAGCCTGATGTCTGAGATCCAGGCTTTGCGCGCCCAGCTGCGGATGACGCACCTACAGAACCAGGAGAAGCTGCAGCAGCTGTGCGTGGCACTGACCAGTGCGGAGGCCCGTGGGAGCCGCCAGGAGCACCAGCTGCGGAGGCAGGGTGGGTGTGGCCTCTCGGCTGCGGCCCCGAAACGTTTATCCTGACACTCACCTGTCAGGAGGTGGCAGGCAGGTCAGCGAGCCCCTCACTGACTCCCCAGGCCACCGAGTGCAGAATGCGTGCCGGTCCGGGTGGAGGCCTTGCCCAGCATCCCGGTGAGCAGCTGGTGGGGGCCGCGTTGGCGCCAGCGTGCTGGGCGCCGCAGGCCCATGTCCGCGAGGGTCGCTGGGGCTCGCAAGAGGCTGAAGCGGCCTGTGGCAGGTTTCTGCGTTTGATTTAAGCTCCGGGATTTTTATGCAGACACTCATGTCACCTGCAGGAGGGAGAACACTTTATCTTATTTTTTCTTCCCCATCTCCTCTCCTCCTGTTCTTGCCATTTGCCCTGGGGATGCTCTGAGGGCTGAGTGAGGGCTGGATTCCGTCCCGTGGGGCAGCCTGCCTTCGAGCCCCAGCCTTGGCGTGGTGCCTCACGCTGTGCAGTTCTGGGCTGGATTTGCTCGTATTTTGCATCTGTGTTCATGAGGGTCCTGGTCCACGGTTTTCTTTCTTCTGGTTTCGGTTCCTGGAGGAGTGGGTGTGTGTGCTCCTAGTTCTGGGCGGCTTCTCCGCGAAGCTGCCCGGGCTGGGTGGGCTCCATGGAGGTCCGTCTCGGCCCAGCTCCAGCCTTGGCCTTGGGAGACCCTGGGCCTGAGCGTCGCAGGGGTCGAGAGGGCGTGTGCCCCCCCCCACCCCGGAACCCTGTTGCGTCGCATGGCCTGCACAGCTGGGCGGTCCCGCCCGCTCTCTGCCCGTTTGTCTCTCCCTGGATGCTCACCGGCCACGAGGGCGAGGCTGGCGGGGTGTGAGCAGGAGGTGTGTGTCCCGAGTATCTGGGCTCCGTCAGAAACGGCAGCTTCTGGGTCATAGAAGCTTCCTGCCCCCCGAGTGGACACAGCCCCTCCGTTGCTGGTCTGTTACTGACTCGCTACGTCACCTGTGCGGCTCACTTTGGACTCGTGAATAATGCTATTTTAATTCATTTAATCTCTTTCTTAGTTGAGTTATTGGTGTATAAGGTTGAGCAGGAAAAATGTATGGTAAGCGACCTGCAGAAAAGCCTGAACGAAGAGCAGGAGAAAGCAAATAACGTCCAGAAGCTGCTGCTGGTGGAACAGAACACAGTCAGAGATCTGAAATCTGAGCTCTGCGAGTGTAGACAGGACAAGGAGCGGCTGCTGAAGTGCCTGGACGAGGTGCAGAAGGAGGTCCTTCAGCTGAGGTGCGGCCCCACTGGCAAGGCTCCACCTTCTAGCCCCATCCTGCCCTCAGGCTTCTGGCCGAATAATGCCGGAAGTCACATGGTCCCTGCCACGTTCTTGGCCTCGAAGTGAAAGATGCCATGCCGTCCGAAGCCGCGGTTTGCCCGGCTGTCGTGATGGGTGTTGGGGAGGAGCCTCTGCTCCTGCAGGCTCGTGGGGGGCCGCGCACACTGCAGGGCCCGCCCTCCCTGCCCTGGGAGCCCAGGTGCTGGCCTGCGTCCCCTTGAGAGCCTGTGGCCCACACAGGTCGGTGCTGGACAGTAAGGAGGATGACCTGCAGGCCGCTCTGCAGCAGCTGGAGGCCGAGCGCACCAAGGAACGGGTCCTGCAGAGCCGGCTGGAAGAGGAGCGGCTGCAGTGCCTGCAGAGGGAGAGCCAGAGCGCCAGGACCCTGGAGGTGATGTGCGCGGCCGCGACTGTGCCTGGAGGGGCCAGGGCTACACCTTCAGGGCTCAGAGGGTCCCTGCACGTGTGGTCCCCGCCTCTGGGCATTCGCTTCCCTGAGGGCAGTGCAGCCTCAGAGCCGCGTGGGGGCCCTGCCTGTGCGCAGGGGAGGCCTCGGGCCGGCGCCCTGTGCGGCAGCCGTGTGGCCACGCTGAGGCCACCCGTAGGCCTGGCTGAGCCGAGCACCGTGAAGGGGTCGAGGGCCCGCCCTTCAGCAGCACCGGAGCCCCTGATTCAGGGAGGGAGGTGAACCTGGGACGTTGCACTGTGCTCAGAGCAGCGCCTCACCCCCGAGGAAGGCCGGCGGAGCCACGAGAAGAGGGGTTATGCTCGCCCTCCTTCTACCCGAAGTGTAACGTCAGAAGCTGTAGCTGCGGCAGCTGTTTAGATGCTCCTGCCTCGTCTCACTTTCCCCGATGCAGGAGTTAAGGGCGTCTCTGGAGAAGCAATGTGCTCACAGTGACCAGCTGCGCGTGGCGCTGGAACACGAGCAGACGGCGAGGGACAACCTCCGGAAGGAGCTGCAGATCGAGGCCTCGCGCTGCGAGGCGCTGCTGGCGCAGGAGCGTGGCCGCCTCTCGGAGCTGGAGCGGACCCTGGAGGCCGAGCAGGGCCGCTCCCGCGAGCTGTCCGAGGCCCTGCAGCACGAGCGCCGGCTCACAGAGCGGCTGAGCCGGCGGCCTCAGGACAAGCAGGCGCAGCCGGCTCTGCTGCAGAAGCTCAGGGGCTGCGAGGCCCGCGTGCTGGAGCTGGAGGTGGCGCTGGAGGCCACGCGGCAGCGAGCCCTGGAGGCTGAGGCCCACGTGCACCGCCAGGACGTGGAGAGGGAGCAGGAGGTGAGTGTGGCACTGAGGCCTCCCGTGGAGACCCCGCTGAGAGCACGGGGGACCTTATAGCAGCCAGGACGCAAGGACAGCGGCACAGCCGAGGCTGAGCCGAGCAGACACGGAGAAGTGGAGCAGGTGACAGAGAGACAGGGAGACGCTGGTGGGCCCGCCACGGCCGGAGGGCCTGTCCTGGCTCCGGGCTGTCCCTTGGTTTGTTCAGCGCGGCGGCTGGAAGTCGGGAAGCGCGCGTCCTCCGACTTTGTTCTTTCCCAAGGTGGTTTTGGATCCTCGGGGCCCCTCACGGTTCCGTGTGCGTCTGTGGATCGGCTTTTCCGCTTCTGCATGAAGGCCCTTGGGATCTTGGTAGGAATCACACTGAGTGTGTAGATTGCTTTGGGGCGTGTTGTCTCCTTGACAGTGCCAGGTCTTCCCATCGTGAAATCGGCAGGGCTCTCTGTCTGTTTAGCTCCTTATTTCTTTCAATAATGTTTTGTCACTTTCAGGTGATAAGCTTTGCGTTTCTTTTGTTAAACTTATTCCTAAATATTACTTTTTTGATGCTGTTGTAAATGGAATTACTTCTTACTTCCGTTTTCAGGTGTTGTGAACGTGTAGCAATGTGGGTGATTTTCACACCTTGATCTTATGTCCTGTGACCTTGCTGAACTGATTTATTATTAGTTCTAATATTTTTAATGGATTCTTGGGGATTTTCCATATAGAAGATCATGTTTTCTGCAAATAGACATAGTTTTACTTGCTCCTGTCCAACCTGGATGCCTTTGTCTCTTCTCCTTGCCTGACTGCCCTGGCCAGAACCCACCGTGTGTGAGGGCAGGCGTCCAGCCTGGTTCTTTTTTTTTTTTTCCTTTTTTTTTTTTTTTTTTTTTCCAGCCACTCCACGGCATGAGGGATCTTCCCGGACCAGGGCACGACCCCGTGCCCCCTGCATCGGCAGGCGAACTCTCAACCACTGCGCCACCAGGGAAGCCCCAGCCTGGTTCTTGATCTTGGGGAGCAGTCAGTCTTTTACTGCTGAGTGCGATGGTAGTTGTGCCATTTTTGTAGATGCCCCTTATCAGAGGAAATTCCCTTCTATTTTTAGTTTATTCAGTCTTTTTTATGTTTAATCATGAGAGAGTGTTGGATTTCCTTTTTCAGTGTCTTTTCAGATTTATGGGTTTTGTCCTTCTCTTGATATGATATAGGACATTGATTTTCATATATTCAGTCATCCTAGCACTCTTGGGATGCATCCCACTTGAATTTGGTGTATAATTCTTTTTTAAATAATGTTGGATTCAGGTTGCTAGTATTTGGTTAAGGATTCCGCGTTTATATTTAGACATGTGTTCTGTGGGCTTCTTTTCTTGTGGTGCTTTTGGTTTTGATGTCAGGAAGATCTCGGCCTTGCGGGATGGGCTGGGAAGTGTTCCCTCCTTTATTTTTTGGATGGGTCTTAGTTTTAGATACACATTATACATTGACCAAAAGCATTTGTTCCTGAGGAAATTATATCCTGTGCTTTCTCATGGATTGACCTTTATTTTGCTCTCTTTAAAAATATTTTTTAGAACTTCAAAAATATTACCTTTATTATTTCTTTTTGGGGGTTTTGGGAAATTATAAAAAGCTCTTAAAATGCACAAGGAAAACCAATGGCCTGGTCTTTTTAATGGTTAGGCTGCCATGAAATCGTCAAGAACTAAATATTAGTGAGATATCATTCACATGCTACTGAGTCCACCAATTTAAATTGCACAGTTCAGCGGTTTTCAGTATATTCAAAAGTTGTGCAGCCTGATATCACTGCAGTCAATTTTAGAACATGTTCATCACCCACAAGGGACCCCTGGGCCTGTTAGCGGGGACCCAGCCCCTGGCACCCACTGGTCTACTTTCCATCTCTGGATTCGCCTCTTCTGGTCATTTTGTGTCAGTGGAATCACACGGTATGTGGCCGCCTTTTGTGTCTGGTTCCTGCCATGGGGTTTTCGATGCTCACGCGTGTTGTGTGTGTAACGATTCGTGTTTTTGGTGGGGTCAAACAGCCTGGAATGCAGTCGTGTTTCATCACTAGAGATCGTGGAAGTGGAGGAATCGTTTGGGGCTGTGGCAGAGGCCGGGGGTTTCCTGACAGAGGCGGCTAGAGTCACGGCCCTGGATGGGCCTTGGTCACTCGGGACCCCCAGAGCGTGTTCCAGGTTTTTTGTGCGTGTGGGGGAGAGAGGTTTGTTGTCTTCATGTGCTTCTCAAGGGGTTTCCCAGACCTTATCCAGAGTCTTCTGCCAAACCTTTTTATTTAATTTTGGGGTTTTTTTCTTTTGTTTTTCTTTCTTTCTTTATTTTTTTTGTTTGTGGTTTGTTTTTGGTTTGTAAAAATGTAATTGCTTAAAAAAAAAAATACAAACAAAGTATTTTCCAAGTCAAATTAGTCGCTGTCCTTCATGATGCACCTTGATATGTATTTTCTTTCTTAAGTATGTTGTCCTTTTGGTGTCACTCTTACTGTACGTAGTTAACTTGATCTGGGTTAGGGGGTCTTTTTCTGGCTGTAGTGGCCCAGGCCTCTGATAGTTATTTCAGGGCCAATTTCATCTTTTTTAAACAAAATAAACCAGTGGGTCTCTTGGTTTTGTTACTTTCCTCTTCTGGAAAATAGATCAAAAAGGATCGCAGTTTCCTGAGGAGGCTCGAGCACTGAATGGGGGTGATGCCGGGAAAGGGCAGGAGGCGCTGGGTGGGAAGCAGGCCTGGTCCGTGTGCCGGACTGAGGAGTGGCTGGGCCGGACCTGTGCCCTCTCTGCCCTGCCTGGTTCCGCCCTACCCAGCCTGGCCATCTTTGTTTCCCTGGATCCCCCCTCCCCAGGCGTCACCATCCCCTGGGGTCAGCCCCCTGCTCTCCGAGCCCCCACCGCTCCCTGAATTTCTCAGCATGTGGAGTGGTTTCTGTCGGTGGTCTGCTGTCTCCCTCTGGAGACTCGGGTCCTGGGTGTGGGGCAGGGAGTGGCCTGGCCGGCTGGGTACCCTGGCATCTCCACAGTGAAGGGCGGGGATCGCGAGTGGGGGGCACAGGGCCTCCTGAGACTCAGGCCTGCCTTCTCGGTGTCGAGCACCCACTCAGTGCCCGCATGCGTGCTGAGGTGGGGGGCCCAGCTCGGGCTGTGGCTCGTCCCGTCCTGGGTCCTGTCCTGGATTCCCGGGGTGGGGGGACCCTGACACCGCATCGCGCCTTGAGCCCCCGTGTGGAGCATGTTGGGGGTTGGTCAGTCAGGGCCCGGGGCCGGGCCGGGCAGCCCCTGCGCTGAGCTCCTGGCCCCGGTCTCCACCCCGGACTGTGTTTGAGGCTCGCTTCTGTTTTTCGCCGTTGCTGACAGCGGGAGTTAGAGCTGCAGCGCCAGCGGGATGAGCACAAGATCCTGCAGCTCCAGCGGACGGTGAGGGAGCTGCAGGCGAGGGAGCCCGCGCGACCCCGGGAGCAGCAGCGGGGCCTAGAGAAGGTGCGGCAGCAGCTGCTCTGTGCTGCGGGGCTTCTGACCAGCTTCATCAACCAGACAGTGGACAGGCAAGTCTCTCGGGACTGCCCCGGCCATATTCCCAGCACCTTTGATGTTGAGAAAAATTCTGAGTGGGGTGTGTCTTTGATTTCGGGTTCAGGTTTTCATGAAACGGACTCTATTTCTCATCCCACGTGTGTGGATGAATTCGTGGGCAGTATTCTCTTGAAAGATGATGACAGCACTGTGGTCTTTGCATTCTCATATGACAGGAAATCCAGGTGTCTTTCAGATCAGGCCTCTCATGTCCCTTTTCCGTTGCTCACCACCCAGAGGGTCTAGCCCAAGGCCAGCCCCCCTCCCACCCGAGTCCCCCAAGGCAGGGCTGGTGCCCGGTGTCTGTGCAGCGTTTGCCTCGCCTGACACCCTGGCCCGCTGCCCATGGGGCCAGGATGCTTCCGCCTGGTCGAGGACCCACGACCCTGCTGTTTGGCGGGAACCAATGTTGATTTGCCCTTTTCTGAACACACAGAAGCCCAGACCATACAGCTCTCTTGTCCGTAATTGGGTTTAGTTAATGGAGCAGCAAAGTCTTGCTTAGGGACAGCGTTTTAGTAGCTGACTCAGAGTCCCAGCAGAGAGCAGCAGGGGGAGGTGGACACACTGAGGTAGCCTCCGTGGTCTGTGGTCAGTGTTCAGTGTTTGGAGGCTTCCGGGCTTCACAGACTGCCCACTTCCAGGCCGTGCCGCCTCCCGGCTGCCACAGTCACCGCCGGGCTCCCCGGGCGCTGCACCGAGTGCCTGTCGCCCGGGACCCACACGCACCTTCTGAGTGTCCGTGTGCTTCTCCAGGACCATCAGTGATTGGACGTCGTCAAACGAGAAGGCAGTGGCGTCCTTGCTTCACACGCTGGAGACGCTCAAGTCTGAACTGGGCGCGTCCAGCTCCTGCCGGGTGAGACCAGCTTTCTTGTTCACTGTGGCCGGGCCTGCCTCCGGCCTCGGCCTGTTGCATGGTTGGCTCAACGCACTGTTCCTGGTGCCCATGGGGGCACTGGTCTGTCCCGCTCCGTGGCCAACCCCCCGGCCTATCTGCCGCTCACGCACCTGTGTTGCGGCTTTGGGCTGGAAATGAGCTGCCCGTCAGCAGCGTCGGGGGTGCTTCAGGTGTCCTGACTGCTGCTATGAATTCCCGACAAACTTCCGTGGCGGTCAGGACGTCGTGACGTCTGTCGTGGAAGCAGCACGCGGCGCAGGCAGCGGGAGAGCTGACCCTGCCGGTGTGCTGCGCCCGCTGGGGCCTGGAAAGAACGCGCCTGTTCGGAGGGACCCTCAGGGATGAGCGTGCTCCCCACGCCACCCGTCACGTCCTGCCTCTGCCGGTGGTGCTGTTGGAACAGGGAGAGGGTCGTGCTGTGACAGCCTTCCCCTGTCCGTGCCCGGTTTCATGCAAAGTCTGTTTCATGCGAGAGCGAGAGGAAAAGCAGTCTGATGGCTTTTGCTCTCTCCTTCCCGTACGTGGACTCTGCCCAGCCCCGCGTGCTTCCCACCAACCCCAAATATGTTTAAAGTTACAATCCCTGAAAACAGCCGACAGTAAAAGCCACGAATAGCAGCTTTTAACGAAACGTTTTCTGATCTCGTTTTCTCCTCAAGAAGAAGACGACGGTGGAGCTGCAGGTCCAGCTGGTGGACGTCC